CAATGCCCTCAGTCCTTCCTTTACATTATGCCTCAAAATGATGCCATATATGCCTACCAAATTTCAGTTTATTATACTCTCATATATTTATTTACTGTGTGTAGTATGGTATGTACCATATAACATCAGAATATATACACATAACACACACACACACAAACACATATGTAGGTCTTTGGTTATTCGGGTTTTCTCCCGCGTAAAATTGGAAGTGTCTTGGTGACGTTTCGACGAAGTCCCATTCGTCATCTTCAGGCTGGTGTTTTCGGCTTCGTGCTTCTAGGAGCAATGTGTGATCGCAGCTGTTTCTTCCTTTTAACTGCCAGTGGGGGTATGAACTGATTGGGTGGGAGCTTGGCTGTGTTCTGATTGGTTAGGGGCTTGGCTGTGCTCTGATTGGATGGGGGGTTGGCTGTGCTCTGATTGGATGGGGGTGTGTTCTGTTTGGGTGGGAGCTTTGTAGTGCTCGGATTAGTCTGAGTTGCCGGGGGATTTGAGATGGAGAGCTGCGTTGCTATTGTTTGGCTTCGTGTTCGTGGTCGTGCCATATCTTCATGGTGGGTGTCAGTTTGCTTTATGTATGGATTGGAGGGGTTTAAGATGGCTAATGATGCAGCTGTGGTCTGGCTTCTGGTTTGTGGTCGTGCCTCATCATCGGTGTGGGTTTGGGTTTGCTTTTTGCGTGGATGTGTGGTGGTGACATCCTGTGTGGTTTTCGTGAGTGAGTGAGTTTCTCAGTCAGAAAAGAGGAAACAACTTCTTCCCTGGTCCAACACCTTAAAGCCACAGGACATAAAATTGACTTTAAAAAGACCAGAACTATCGCCAAAACTGAAAACTTTAACAACAAAATAATCAGAGAAGCCATCGAGATAGAAAAACGCCCACACAGCATGAATAAACGAGATGATACCTCCCGCCTACCAGCCATTTGGAAACCCATCCTTATTGACAAACGAGTTCCCAACACAAAGAATGACACTAGACCCACACTCACTATATATAGTGTTTTTTTTACGATGCACCCTGTCAGCCCAAATATGGGAAGAAGAAATCTTTTGCCTGTATCAGCCCAGTCTAGGGCTATCCCCAGGCAGCAGTCGCTACTGCGACAATCATTTTTATGTTAAATTTGGATTTAACTCTTTGTTAGCAATCCAAATTTTACATACATACATACATACATTCACTAAAAAAAATTTGGATTGCTAACAAAGAGTTAAAGGGGGACTGGGATAGCTATTTCAAGCTAATTAGCTCTCATCAGCCAGCCATACCCTTCTGAGATTTGAACTTGGGCTGCTTGCACTTAGGCAGCTGTGTTGACCCCTAGGCCACAGGCTCTTTCTCATTTTGTCAGCTGTATCAGGGAGGGAAGAGACAGGGGAGGAGATATGTCTTGAGTGTTGTTGTTTTTTTATGCACCCTGTCAGCCCAAATATGGGAGGAAGAAATCTTTTGCTTGTATCCGCCCAATCTAGGGCTATCCACAGGCAGCAGTCACTACTGCGACATCATTTGTGGGTGCATCAAAAAAACCACCACCCAAGACACACACACACACACACACACACATATGTTTCATTATGAATTCATTTTAAAGCTTCTTTCAGATTTTAATGTACAGTACAACTCTTACTCCTCCATTAATTTTAATAAGTGTTGCTCTGATTGATATTTTTGTTATATATCACTGAAGATGGGTTACAAATGCCAGGTTTTCCCATTAACATGACAGAACATTCCACATTTAAATTCTTTTATTAACATTTGAGAAATTGAAATTGATCTGTTTCATTTGTTAATTTACAAGGCTATTAATTCAAATGCCATTATCCATTTGTTTATTTAAAACATATTAAAACACTGCCCTTTTACTGTTGATTTTGAAGATAGAATCAAATAAAGATGAAATTATAAAATAAGCTAATCGTTTTGAATAAATAAAATATTTTTCACTAGATATAAAAATTTTGTTCTGTAGTCATTAGGTGAGTCATCATTAGGATGGATCCAGTATTCCACAGCTGGACAGTGACAGTGCCAAGAATGCTGTTTCTATCTGTTAAAGTAGGCTTCAGCAGAATAATTGAGAGCAAAACAATATCCAGTAATTTGATGAGCTGCCAGGACCACAGTTATATTAGAGAAGATTATGAGTGAAATCATCCTTATTCGTCCCCTGATTACGTATGGCAGTGACAACATGGGGAGACTTGAGAATAACATGAACTTTTATGACTGCCATAATATTTATTTTCAAAAAGGGCCAATGTTCCTTCAGTGTAGTATTAAAAAATAAGTAATGATTCTGTAGCTGAAAAAAAAAATCTGTTGCTTTTTTATAATAATTGTACAACTAAAACTAATAAAAACTACAAAAGATAAAAAGGTAAAAAGAAAAAAAAAGAAAAAAAGTGAAGAAAAAAGAAAAAGAAGTAATTTTTCCCTTCTTCCCAGCAAGTATATACAACTTTAACAACTGATCAAATTATTTAAAGCATAACAAAAAATCTTTTCATCCCATATCTCAGCTCAATAAATCTCAATAAATATATCTATAAATCATCATCCATCTCAATCAGCAAAAGTCCATTAAATCTTTGTATTTTCATTTGTATCTGTTTTAATATGCTGTGCACCGCCCTGAGTCCTGCGGGAGAAGGGCGGTATATAAATTAAATTATTATTATTATTATTATTAAAGGCTACCAGAAATAACCTCATATTTATTATAAACTTAATCTAATAAACCCAAAATTTCCTTCTTTTACATTTATATCTCCTATTCAATTCTTAAACGAAATTCCCAAACCTCATCAATCAAAATACAATCAATAAAAAAACCAAAGGTTTCCAAAAATGATACAATAACTGTTTTAAATTTACTCGAAAAATTTAGAAGGCAACAAATAACCTCTTTTGTATATAACTCTTTATTAATAAAACAAAACCTTAAAAGATCATCTTCCAATCTAATCAGAGGAAATTGAAAATTATCATAAATGAAACTTTTATCTATGAAACAAAACCTTAAAATATCATCTTACAGTCTTAGAAAAATCCATGAAAGATTACCAAAAATAACAACAGCCTATCTATTTTAACTTTGGCCAAATAAGCTTATTTTAGGTTTCTTTTCCCTTACTCAATATAATGAATGCCCCGGAAGCTGGCTTGGATGATGAGGAAGAGCTGGTTTCAGGACTTTCGCTACGAGGCTTGGAGAAGCATCTGGAGGACACGTGGGACCCTGAACCAGGAGGGGGATGGGCAAGAGAAGGAGGAAAGTTCAGGAACCTGAGAAGGGCTGGAGGACTGACTGGAAAAGCGGCTGGCTGACAAAGAGAGGGAAAGAAACACAGCTGCAGCCAGGAGGCTTGGAAGACCAGCCAGAATCAGGGTGGAGAAGGGATGCAGCTGCAGCTGGTCAGTGGGGATGAGGAGGAACTGCCTCCTCCATTGGATCTCAGGGCACATAGGGCTGAGAAGAGGAGGCACAATGGAAGTTTAATGAGGCTACTCATGAGGAGGCAATATTGTGCCTCCTAATGAGTTGCACTGGCTAGAAGCTATTTAGACCAGCAAAGTGATACTGGGAATCAAAGTGATACTGGGAACAACTCATCTCTTTCTTGCTGTGCGTTTGTTCAGCCAATGTGACCCTTGCCTTGAGACTTAAACTTTGACCCTGTTACAGTACTAGACTTTGGACTTTGCTTCTTGGATCTTGGACTTGGATTTCAGTTTTGTGATTTGTGCTCAGACCATGGATTTGTCTTTTGACTTTGAACTTGGTGGGTGACATAATGGACTTACTCTGTGTTTCTGGACTTGGGAATTGGACTCATTGGATTTTGTGCTGGGTCCTAGAGAATATTATTTGAGGCTGTTGAAGCTTCAATAAAGACTTCAAAACCTCATGGTATGTGTGTGTGTGAGCAGGACAGACAGGTCACTCCAAAATATCTTGATCTTAAGCCCTCTCAAATAATGCCATGACATATGGTTTCTTTTCATTTTTTGTAAGCTCACAAAATTACCAACAACATGAATGTCCTTTTTATAAAGCCCATATAAAAAAGTTGTACAATCTACTCTTCTGGTCTATTATTCACATGTCCTTTTTAATTATTTAAACAGCAGCCAGCTTCATTTGTCAGGTTAGTTCAGTTCACTTTGTTCCATATCCTTCTTACAGACTGTCATTTTAAAATCCACATTAAATCAATTTCATTCTTGTCAATTGAAATTTGTTTCTTTTCCATAGCATCATCTACTCTTTCAATAATGGCAGAAATTTTTAAAAGTATCTTCTGAATCATTTTTTACACATGTCCAACCTTTAAGTATCCAACTTATCACTTTATATTTTTTTCTGAAGGATGTAAATATCCACAGTTTCTCATCAGAAGAGATTTATAATTAATTTCAAACATTTATTCCAAATGTATCTGAACCTTTAGTCCATGTTTAACTTTCTAAATGCAACATTCTAAATATAATTTTTACTGTATTCCAAAAAACAATATTTTTCTAAGTCCTTAAAATCATATTTAAAACTGTCACTGAGACTCAGCCAGTGAATGCTGTAGAAACTTGCCAATCTGAAGGGTAAGAAACAAGGATCGACCTTTTTGTCCTTAAAAGACTGCATTACGATGGTATCCTGCAACTTCTAGCTATTCAAGTCCTAAGCTGATAGTAAAATAGTTACTGCAGCCTATTCATGAGGAGCAGCTGTCTGGGGGTACATATGGGTTGCCTCACAATCTCTCCTTTTCCTGGAGAGATTTCACTTGTTAGGATCCAGCAACCATGATCTCCATTGTAAAGCCAATCTCTTATTGGCAGGACATCTAGCTTGCTATAATGCTCACTGATCACATCATTGACCAAAAAAGTAAATAAATAAACCTCTTGCAATGGAAATAAATACCAAATATTTTTTTATTTTCGCATATTTGGTTACTATTCTATAAACAGTTTCTTATCTATAGGCTAAAGACACACTATGCATTGTATGAGCCTATGTTAAGACAGCTGAATGAAAAGTATGAGATTCTACTAAGAGAGAAAATGCTTACAAGTTTGGAACGAGACAAAGCTGTTGGGCAGGTATGGAAACTATTTTAAATATTATAATATATTATTTAATTTAATATTTTAGTTAAAGTTTTATTCTGTGCCATTCCTCAGAATTCAAGGTGGGTTACAGATACAAACCAAAGTTAAACAATACATACCAAAGAGTTTGTTGTTGAATGTGGCATTAAGTATGCCAAGAAGTACAGATCTTCTTTCTTTTAAATTGTAGGTTTTTCTCTTTTTCTAAAAAAAGGATGACTTGGGGAAGGAGAAGAAAACTAGTTGAAATACACAAATGACCTTTTGTTTACAATTGTAGCCTCTCAGGCCTTTATTTCTTAGTGTGAAGTGAAATTTTATAATTTGACATTTTAAAGCAGATTCTCATTAAAGGTAACAGTAATAAGCAATTATTTCTTGGGTAGAATATACACCTTTCTTTTCATATCTTAGACCCTAGCATCACAACATTCATAGCTATCTATCTGTATTATTATAGATGGTGTGCTTATGTGTGTGTATATGTATATGAAAACACATGGCAATAGTAGTTTGCTCATAGGTCAAATATTGTTTGCTATTACTCACCACAGTTACACTATGAGTAATATTTCCATGTTTAATGCATACCTTTCAAATCCATAAATCCAGAGAAAAACTACTGCTAATTATTATTCCTTTCACTGAGGCCCTTCTATTATTCTTTTCCAATTCCTTCCACTGAGGCCTTAGGAAGTTTTGATGGAGTGAATGAAGAAGTCTTTTCTTGATTTAAAGTATTTTGAAACTAATTATGCTCTATTGTAAGTAGAACATTATTTTAAATATAGAAGCAGAATTCACTGTTCTCTATTATGGTTTGATTGAGTATAAACTAATTGAAATAAATTGAAATATGTTAGGCATAAGTGGCATCATTTTGAGATAAGATGTGAAAGAAGGGGTGAGGCCATTAATATAATAGTATAGAATCATAAAGTTGGAAATGACTGTTTAGTCCATCAAGGCCAAAGCCCTGTTCAGTGCAGGAATCCAATTAAAGCATCCTGGACAAGTGGTTAATTAGATTCTGCTTCATGCATCTAATGAATGGGAGCCCCTCACCATACTGAATAACTGTGATTACTGTTTCTAGTATTGAGTCAGAAACAGCTATCTTATAATATAAACTGACTATCCCATGTTCTGCTCTCTGGAATGAGAACAAACAGGTATTTCTGATAGTTGAAGAGCTGTTGAACATTTGCATCATCTATTTGCATCTTTGCATCTATAAACCTATTTGACTGCTAGGACAAACTACCACATTAATTTCTGGTAACTGCATTTTTTCAGGGTATTTACAGATAGATTGCTTTATGATCTGGTCTAGAATATTCTTAATATATTAATACATTCTCAATATCAGTTTTTGGTTTGCTGCTTCTTCCTTTTCTCCCATGTTGAAGGTAGAGATATTATTTGCTTCCATTCATAAGCTCTTCAGTCTACTTCAACATCTTCATAAATGACCTAGAGCATGGTTCCCCAACCCCCAGACTGCAGCCTGTTCCAAACTGGGCTGTGCAAGCAGTGAGCAGACATCTGATGCAGCCCAACTTGCATGAGCAGCAGTTGCTTGTGCTTGCATTGCTCACACAAATGGAGCTGTGCACATGCATGTGGGCGGGCCTGCCACTCGCATGGAACCCTCCCCTCCCCCTTCCCACCCTGGGGACCCCTGATGTAGAGGAGGGGATTGTCTGGGAGGGAATCAGGACTCCTGCCTTGGGCAGGGAGGTTGGACTAGAAGCTCCCAAGGGACCTTTTAGCCCTATGATTCTATTTCTATCCAGTCATGTACGCCATTTTCCAGTTTTCTTAAAGGTAATACATAAGAGTTCAGTCACCATCACCTCGGTATCCTAAGATGCAGTTCAACTGGTTCTGTGAGTTAACATTTTAACTCTTCAAGGATGTCTTTAAACTCTTAAAGAATGTCACACATAAGATGTTTTTTTATAATCTGAAAATTAAGATTTAGATTATAGAATAGTATATGGAATAAATCAACAAAGATGTTTTGACTAAGTGTTAGAAGAAGCTTCTAACAGAATAGTTTGATAATGAAGCCAGTTATAGATGGAGGGGGATGATCTCCTATTTGCTGAATCTCCAACGAAGGCTGGACAGCCATCTATTAATTCTTTAAACTGGATTCCTGCATTGATCAAAGGACTGTGCTTAATGACTAAATGGCCTTTTCAAACTCAACAATTTTGTAATTGTTTTCCCAATGCTGAACAGAATGTGATCAGACATAGCTCCTTTGCAGTTGAGATTTGGCAGGCAGAAACAATTTATGTTCAACAATGACAGGTCTCCAAGGTGTTCAGATGCAGGCAAACAGGAAAGAATTATAGGTTCCATTATGGCTTTTTGATTCCAGGAAGATTACCATATTTACATCTTAGGAGTGACAAATTCTTTTTGCGTGAAGGATGATGAAGAGAGGCGGAAACTGTTACCATTTTTTTCTTTCTATGCCATTGGAAAATTTTAATCTGGATTGATTTTCTGAAGTATTAAGATGTTATATGTAATCTGATATAATTCGTATTCTGAGATTCTCAACTATATTGAAATATTGTATACTTAATGTCATACATTATTTCTGATTTTCTAAATGGAAGAAACGAAAGGTTGTTGATAGACTTTTCTTTCATTTCAGATTACTGGCTTGCAAGCAACTTTACAAAGCTTGGAATCTGGAAACAACATTCACATTCCTGTGATGAAAGGTAAATATTTAGCTATGAACCAAAAGTAAAAGCTTAAGAGATAATGTTTGCATCTCATGGTATTATGCACATTTCTAGAAATTTAACATTTCTCTACATATTATACACAGGCTCAAATGGTCTAAAACTAATGCTGTTTTATACTAAGTTATACAGAAAATCTCAATGAATAAGCTAGAATATTGGGATTCCCAGCATCTATGTCTACATTTTTTGTAAAAAAAGAAATTTTGTTGAGGGCTGTGCATGATTAGAGACTCCTGAACTCTATATCCATTAGACTATCACCCAATACTTCTTGTTTCAGATCTGCTGAGTTATCTTCAAAAGATATTGTGGTTTTGCTATATTGATCTTAAGAAGAATGGATCTGAATAGTAGACATCCATAAATATTTAATAGCTTTTGACATCCACAGTAATGTCCTATGGATTGGTTAATTTGATGTTTTCTCTAGATTTCCAATATTTTAGATAAATGTATAGCTGTACTAGGATGACATCCTGACTTTTTTCATCATCCTTACATGAAATTCACATCAGAAATGCATTAGAATTTCTTCACATACCCAGTCTTTTTTTTTTTTTTTTTGCTAAATTGGAAAAATATCCTGTTGGAGCCCAATAATCCAAATAATCCATATAACCATTTGGCTCATTTGGGTTATTGGATCTCTGCAGAATAAGTACAGATAAATCCTGCTAAGGTGCAGTATGCTTTCACATGACAAACACCTAAAATGTGAAAAATATACATTGTTTGGAGAGCCTTGCATTTTTCATAAAAAAAATTCATCCCTAATTTTCCAAAATGCACAAGACAGCTCAGTAAACCTCTGATAAAATGGAACCAATTGAAATGATATCCTGAAGAGCAAGCCATCTTTCAGGGTTTGAAAGATCTCTTTTAATCTCAGCTGCTATTTAGACATCTGGATTCCAGTTGCCCCTTTGTTGTGCAAATTGATGTCTTGACCTTGCTTTAGAATTGTTTTCTCTTAGGCTTTGGCAAAGAGAGGAAGAACCTCTTGTCTTGTGCATTTTATTCTAATCTTCTTTTCCCAGCTGAAAGGAACTATAATTTCAATAGAGAATTGCTGTCATTGTATTGAATGATGGAAGCATTTCTTGGAGTACACAAGCTTACAAGAATTGGGAGCATTGCAAAAGGTGTGAACCCTAACTTCATATCAGTTCAGTTTCCTGTTTCTCTTTTTATATCATTTATAGTATACTTCCTAGTTTCCCAAAACTAGGATGCACTCTCACACAACCTTGAATGCAATATTCTATGGCAACCCCCTTTCTTGAAACTGAACAATTTTACCTCCATTCCAGAAAAAACACTCCTGAGAAGTCAGGGATGGGGAAGCAGGCAGTAGATCTTTTACATTGGATTTGTTTGCAATAACAACTGGATCCATATGTCAGGGCTCAGATGACCAACATCCATTGAACCCAAAAGATAGATTCTTTTTCTTTCACTGTGGCTGAAGGATAATTCTTTCATAATAGTCATTAATATGTTCCTCTTCTTCTCAGGGTGTTACATAGAACCATAGAATCCTAGGGCTGGAAGGGACCTTGGAGGTCTTCTGGTCCAACGTCCTGCCCAAGACAGGAATCCTTATACCATCCCAGACAAATGATTGTCCATTCTTTTCTTGAAAACCTCCAGCAATGGAGCACCCACATCCAGGAGGCAAGCTGTTCCTTTGATTAATCATTTTGACTATCGGGAAATATTTCTAGGTTGGTTCTTCCTCTGACAAGCTTCCACCCACTACTTTTTATCCTGCCTTCAAGTGCTATGGAGTATAAATCAATGCTCTTTTCCCTGTGACAGCCCTTCCAATATCATGTTTCCCCTGAGCTTTCTCTTCATTAGGCTAAACATACCTAGTTCCATTAGCTGTTCATCCTTTGATTTAACCTGCAGACTCCTTATCATCTTTATTGCTCTTCTCTGCATTCTTTCTAGGTCCTCAGCATCTTTTGTGTATCATGGTAACCAGAACTGGACAGAGTATTCCAAATGTGATGTCACTAGTGCAGTATAAAGCAATACTATCACTTCTTGTGATCTTGATGCTATCCCTCTGTTGATTTATCCTATGATTGTGTTAGATTTTTTGGCAGCTGCAGAACACTGCTGGCTCATACTTAAGGGTTGGTCCATTAGTACACCTAGATCCCTCTCACAGTTACTACTGTTGAGCAGGTACCACTTATTCTGTACCTATGCATTTGATTTTGTTCTGTCTAAGTCCAGGACCTTTTCTCACGTCTGAACTGTATCTTGTTGTTTTTTTTTGTATTTAAATTTTATTATTTTCCATTTTAAAAAAACACAAACATGAATCTTTTATCACAATATCAACCAAAAAAAGTAAAACTAAACAAAACATTCTCAGACGTGTCCGGTGTACCCCTCCCGCACCACCCTCTACCACTTGCCACTCCTTCCTCCTCCCATTCTACCACCACTCCTCCTTCCTCCCTCTTTCCTACTTCCCTTCCACCCTCAAACCATCCCGTCCTGTGCAGTTGGGGCATCACCGGACACCTCCTTACAAATAAAAAAAAAATCATACATATAAATCTATAATACAAACCTACCGTTTTCCCCCCTCCCCCCCCCTGGACTTCCCAAAGCTAATCTAGGAAATAAGCAAAAAAAAATATGTCCAAATCTATTCATAACTACTCCATATTACTACACACTAGTATATACTTGCTCTGACTCTAAAATAAACATTAAAATACATACAAAATTTTTAATATACATCTTATGTTAATCAAAAGCTACATAGTAATTTTTCAATTCATACTTTCTCTGAATATAATCTATCCATCTTCTCCACATTGAGATAAATTTTTCCTGAGAATGATCCTTCAGGTACGCGGATATTTTTGCCATCTCTGCAAAAT